ATTTTCTTAAAGATATAAATGTAGAGAGTCGACGAGACGTCTCGATTTAATTTCGAACGAGGAAATTCGAGAAAGTTCATTCCTTCGCGAGGGATAACTTTTCGTTTCAAAGAGAGAGAAAGAGAGAGAGAAAGTCGCATCCGTTTTTTATTTTAATCGATATGAGATCTCCAGATTCCGTTTCCATTATTCGACGAATAAATGAACGAACGAACGCTCGGATCGATCGAATATCATCGCGCGATTAAAATTTCACGCTGCCACACCGACCTGTCTCGCGATCCGCTCGTCACACTTGTCGCACGTCTGTGAAGACGCGCGCATTACCGAGGCGAGGAGGAACATCACGGCCGATCGGGCAACCGGATCAACGTCACGCCGCGTAGCGGCGCACCGACCAAATTATTTATTTACATTTAAACAAGCCGCGCGCGCCTAGCGTGCGCGCATGCATAACGTAACGCGCGTATGTGTGTATATATATACATATACATATACATATATATATAGAGACAGAGATAGAGAAAGGCCGACACCTCGGCGCCGAACTCACCCTCCTGAGACTCTGCAGACTCACCTCCATCCCCCTTCCATGCACCCTTTCAACCACCCCGCGGGCGAAGCATCCCAATGGCAGCCCCCGTTTCGAGCAAAGCTACACCAACTCCCTCCCCTCCCTCCCTCCCTCTCTCTCTCTTGTACCGCTTCTCTGATCTAGCTTCTCTCTCTCTCTCTCTCTCTCTCTCTTCACTCCACTCCACTTCTGTTCCTCCCTCTCTCGCAACCGTGCTACACTCCCTCTCTCCACGCCACTCGTCTCGACCCGTCCAACCGCCCACACACCCGCCAACCTACAACTCCCACGTACCTCGAGCGACCCTCGAGCTATCTCCAAAATCATCCCTTACATTCTAGAGCGGAGCGCTATCCTCCATAGAGAGGACGTCGACGACGACGACGACGACGAGGAGGAGGAGGAGGAGGAGGAGGTTGAAAGGGGGATAGAGAGAGAGAGAGAGGAGGGAGACAGCAGGATATAGGTAGGTATACTGGATACTGCTACGGGAAAATAAGAGATCTTCCCGTACGACTCGCGATACGAATTACAATGGCCGGCGAATGTAGCTCTCTCTTTCTCTCTCTCTCTCGCTTTCTTCGTCTCTTGTTTGGAATACCTTGTTTCACCTCGTCTCTTCCGTTCCTTCTACGCAATTTGAAGCAGAAGCCGCGGAATTTTAAAGCGATCGCGATCAGCAAGCCTGTAGGTGTGGATATGGAGGGGGGTTTATTTGTTAATAACTGTGGCGGAGTTGGAGAGAGTCGTTGCTTCGAGCTGGCCAAGTTTGCTGGAATCTAGCACGGGAAGTAAAATGGAAAATTGGGGGAAAAGATTCTACATTTATCGTGGTATATTTCGAAAAATGAGAAAATATAAATTGGACAAACTCTAACACGAATCCTTTATTTATTAATCGAAATATGAATCGTTGAAATATACGAATACGTGAGAGATACACACATATGATAAAAAATAAAAGTCGGAACGTCTCGTCAAGACGAAAAGTGAAAAAGAAGAAAGGAAGGGGAAAAGCTACGCCATTCTTCAAACCCTCCACGCGATTTGTCATCGATCGATCGATATCGATATTTAATACACCCCTTCCGAGGCCTAATGGACATCCAATGCCGGTGACGAACGAGAATCGAGCCCATTGTCGGGCCGCAATTTACATTTTTCCCTACCCGGCAAGCGTAGTAGGAACACGCCCGTGGTGACACGGAGATCACGAGGAGAGTTCCACGAAGAACAATGGACGTCACGCGCGAGTCGTGGCGCGGTCGAGAGAGGTGGGACGACAGGGTGAACGTTTGTTAAATCGGCGGCGGCCGATCGAGCGACCGATAAAAAAAGAAGAAAAGAGTTTGTCGAAGATGCGAGGAAACTCTGGGAAATTTTCCCATTTACGAAATAAACTCGGTCCAACGAATTTTATTTGAAATTACTTTCGCTATTGGCAAGACGAGAGTCATATCGACAATTAAATTAAATAAAATATTCCAATTCGAATCTTTGTTCGATTTTACGTAAATTGGGGGCAAGGTTTTTAACCTAACCTTCTCATCTCTGCTCTCGCGTGTTATAATGTAATAAGTATGTATGGTAACAGGTGGTTTAATTAATATTTGTAAATCGAATCAATGGGCCATTTGTCCATTGGTTGTTTTTAAAAAATGGGCGTTTTTAAAAAAAAAATTGGCAATTTCGAATTGCTGTTAACCGGGGATAAAGCGTAGGAAACGAGTCGATAACGTTTCGATCCACGGATTCCGCGCAACGCCGCGAGGAAAGTGTAACCGTTCGTTGAAATCTCCGGCCGAGTTTCGGCGCTTCTTAATTTCTCCCGCGCCGTTTCTCCGCCGTTCGCGATTTAAAACCTAGAATATCTCTTATTCTACACATTAACTGCGAATCTTCCTTCATCAAGCATCGACAATTAAATATTCGCAGATTGCAATATTACCTATACGCCAAAAAGACTTCATTAAAATCGGCTTAGAATCACTATACTCTTGGTAAATACACTTGCATACACTTACCCTGTCCATGAGAGGAAAACAATAAATGAAAAGGAAAAGAAAAGGATCCCAATATCATCACCAACGATTAGGAGATCGCGACGAAAGCTGGAATAGAAAAAGGAGGAAAAATAACAAACCACCGAGGAACCACCACCCCTCCTCTGAGAAAGGATCGGGGCAGAAAGGACACTCTAGACTTTCTTAGAAATCCTCGTTATTCCAGCCGAGCGGAGAGGCAAGGGAAAGCCACGAAATATCCGAAGAAAAACACGTTTCCAGGGCCGGGGAATCGATAGCAACAATGCCGTGGCAAAAGCACGAGGCCTTCCGAGGGCGAAGGGGCCACCGAGGAAAAGGGGAGGGAGAGAGAGAGAGAGAGAGCGTCCGTGCGCTGGAGGGTAGGGTAGGAGGGGAGGGTAGGAGGGAGCCAACGAACTGTTGTAGGGTGAGGCAGAGGGAGAGAGGAGCCGGTAACAGGGAGAGGGTGGAAAGCACGATGGTACGGAGGCAGCAGCCTTATTGGAATCGTGGAGAGAGGGAGGCGAGTTTTCCTAAGGGCAGAGAGGGAGAGAGAGAGAGAGAGAGAGAGAGAGAGGGACCGGTTGATGGAACGAGGCCGGTACAACGTTGGCAACAGCCAGATGGGAAAAGGCTGCATTACCTATGGTGCCTCCAAGAAACGATCCTTACCTTAGAGGGATAGAGAGAGAGAGAGGAGAGAGAGGAGAGTAAGGGAAGATGGCTTGCCTTTGCCCTTTCCATACTTTGTTAAAGGGGACTCGATCATTCTATCCCTCTTTGTCCGTGATATTAAAGTACGTCAAGGCGGCGATGATTCGACCCCCTCCCCCCCTCCACCATTCTTCTTTTTCTTGCTTTCCTCCACACCTTCGTTCCATACCCAGAAGTGTCAATTGCGTTCATTGTTCGCTTCGTGGCGATCTTCGCCACGGGATTTCCTGATTTTTCTTTCGGGGTGGAGGAGGGAGAAAGGGTGCGCGAATTCGTGTCGATCGTCGACGATGGCATATTGAGCAGGGGGAGGATGGAGAAGAGGAGCCATTATACTATTATATTTTGGATTTTTTTGGACACGTTACAAGAGTGGAGAATGGAATTTTGTAGAACACGTCTAATTTCTCAATTTTCCAAGCCAAAAGAAAAGTTTGTTCGTTTCATTTTTTTGGAATTGAAAAATGAAGTATAACAAGGGGTTCTATATAATTCGTAAAAAAAAAAAAAAAAAAGAAAAGAAAAGAGAGAGGAGTGTAAGAATGAAAGAATGAAGAGAGCCGGATTCGTTCGGATTTTGTGATTTCGTATATTTTTCCCATCTTGTTCGTGTGCAATTTAAATATAATAAAATAATAATAATAATAATTAATAATAATAATAATAATTATAATGATAATAACTGTCACGATAATAATTAATAATAATTAATAATAATTAATAATAATAATTAATAATAATAATAATAATAATAGCAATATTACTCATAATAATACAATCGCGCGCTTTTCTTTATCCTTAACAACTAACTGCGCTATGTTACAACGATGTTATATACAAAATAATAGATTCGAGCGCTATCTTCCAACTTCACTCATCTCTCTCTCTCTCACTCTTACTATCCATCTATCTATCTATCTATATGTCTATCTATGTATCTATCTCTTTACTCGAACTTTTGTTCTGTTTTCTACTTTCACAACGATTATCAAACTCCTAGTACAAACACGCCGCGTTCACGCCATACCAATCGTGCGCGACGTCTACAACGAGCAAGCTAATTATAATACACAGAAGAAAACTACTATCCCTATATATATATATATATATATATATATATACTTTCTCACTCTTTCTTTCTTTCTCTCTGTCTCCCTCACTCCTCCCCTTTAATATATAATACACAAGGCTAATCTACGATCACGGTCAAAATACGAAAAAAATTTCTAATTTTTTTTTCTCTCTCTCTCTCTCCCCCCCTCGAACGAAGTATCGCGCACCTTCGTTTCTCGTTCCTTCGATTCCTTCCGTGATAATAATCTTGAAACATCGATCGACAATTATTCCAAAAATCTTCCCTTCCCTTGAAGGAGAAAAAGAAAAAAGGAAATCGTCATCCCCTCCCCCCTCCTTCCTGCAACGCCTTTGGTACACGTAGTATATATCAATAATAGTAATAATAATAATAATAATAATATTCCCCCAAAACGAGAAATCGATTTAAGCGTAATTGTGCGTTTCGAATAATACGATATATAAAAATCGGTGACGAACAAAGATCTCTCGTCCTCTCCGTCCTCTACGAAAAAGAAAAGAGATGAAGAAGAAGAAAAAATATCTCAAAAAAAAAAAAAAAAAAAAAGAACGAAACAATACTCATCACATACATCGTCACCGCCATTCCATACCGATTCCCCGCATCGAATTTATACCCGAGTTTGTCGAAAGGCGAAAAGTGGTAGAGAGAGAGAGAGAAAGAGAGAGAGACCCCCTCCCTCTCCCGTGCGTCATCGATCTTGTTTCCACTTGTTCAAATATTCAGCAGCCGTCCCTCCGCCTCCCACCTCGAAAACCAGGTTCCATTTTCGGTGGATCTTCTCCGTCCAATCGAAACGGGAGGGAATCTCAAAATATCGGGGGGAGGGGGGGGAGGATCCTCTTTCCTGCCTCCTCTTTCTCGCTGCTCAACCGACCCATATTTTTGACAGGCTTCGCGAATAATTTCGTCCCCTCTCCCCCCCCCACCCTCCCTCCCTCCGTTCTATATCGGGAGAGAGAGAGAGAGAGAGACGCGACTTGGAACACGACTTCAAAGTTGACGCCTGACCAAGGAGTAATTGATCTTATCCGGTTTAATAAACGTTACGCGAGCTCGACAACTCTCCGAGATATTGGCCGCCGTTATATAACAACCTCGTCGAATACGTTTCTCGTTTCTCTCGTCCATATTCGCAGAAACATTCCGAGGAGGCGACGTTTCTTCCTTCCCTTCCTCGTTCGAGAATGGAATTAACGTTAACAGAAAGTATACATATACATATATATATATATATACTTTTCATACTTGATCGGCGACGAGACATTTGGTCGGAGGGGGGGAGGAACGAGCGGTGGTCGTCACTCACGTCGCGTGGTTCTCCCCGGTCTGGACCGAGACCTCCGAGCCGATCATCATCCCGGTGGACAGCACGTTGCTTATGGTGGGCAAAACGAGCGGGTTGGGCATGGCGATCGAGGGTCTGAGCCTCTCCGTGAGGGCGAGCATCACTTGGCAGTGGAGATGTTGTATGGTGGCCAACAGATTGAGATTCGTGTCGATCAGCCCCGTGGCAGGCGAGTATCTGTCCCTCTCCACCGTGTCCCTCTCCATCTCGTCCGAGGGTATCACGGCCACCTTCTGCTCGATCTCGGCCTCCTTCGTCGCGGAGGATGACGAGGAGGAGGAGGAGGAGGAGGAGGAAGTGGCGGTGGCGGCGGCGGCGGCGGCCGCCGCCGCCGCCTTCTTCTTCTCCGCCTGCTGCTGCTGCAACAGCAGCCTCTGCTGATGCTTCAGGTACGAGGTAGTGATGGGAAGACTGTAGTCGATGGGCGTGTTCTTGGGATCGAGGCCAGGGCTCCAAGGCCTTGGCAACGGGTGGCTGGGCTGGGGGGAGGGTGTGCGACCCTCCGGCAGCATCCTCTTCCTCTTGGAGGAAGCGGAACTTCGGGAGCTGGCGCGGTCCGACTCCGGGGTCCTCCTCGAGTCGGGCAGGGTGTCAGCGGTCGGCAGGAAGCCCCCCGTCACGGGCTCCTTCTTCAACAGATTCGTGATGCTCAGGGGGTTGTACTTCTCCTCCTTCTCCTTGTTCTCGCTTTTCTCGCTCGAGGGGCCATTGCCACCCTTCTGGTGGTGCTTCTGGTGGTGCCTGTAACTGTACAGAGGCTTGCCGCCGCTACCAGCCTCGTGGTGGTGGTGGTTATGGTGGTGGTGGTGGTGGTGGTGGTGGTTCCCCTCGCGCTGCTTCGGGCTGCTACTTTGCACCGACGAGGCGGCGAGGGTGGCGGCGGGGTTCGGGCTCAACGGTGTCGTGGTCGTGGTCGTGGACGTGAGGGCGGTCGTCGCGAGCGGCGTCCCAGTCGGCTGCTGCTGCGATTGATTGGACAAATTGGTCGGGCTCGGGGTACGTGGACGCCGTTGGCATTCCGTGCACCCCAAGAGAAATCGCGTTACGGCCTCGCGGGGTAGGAACGCGTACGTTTCCGTGATCTGAAACGAGACAGACGATGGGCGTGTTAGATCTTTTTTTTCTTTAAGATAAAAAGGTTTAGGAACGATTTCCATAATCGAGAAATCTTCGAGGAGACGCTTTTAAGTGTCTTGTAAGTGTATATATCGAAACGTAAAGTTGAAGTTTGAAAAGTATTGTATACTGGTGAAAAGAAGTCTCTATAATTTGAATATTTTCGAAACGATTATTATCTCGAATATGAAAATTAAGTTATTAGAAATAAGAATTTTTATATCGTATCTAAGATAAGACTTCTTTTAAGACCAGTGGTTGGACGCTCAATGATTCGATGCCAATCTGGACTTCTATTCTCCCAAGTATTCCAATCCTCTCGAAATGTGTGGCTCGAATTCCATCTAAATCGGCACGAGGAACGTCCCCGCAGTTATTTCGCTTCCCTCGACACAGGTATTTTCGACCGAGGATTAGAAAGGCGGCACTCGTGATTGACCCCTTTCGGTTCCGCCGTAGAACCGCGTGAGCCGTCACGTGGAGGAGCCAGTTTCACGACGCCCACTGGGGAAAATTCATGGGCCAGTAACGGAACTTTGATGTCTTTGCGAGAGGCATATTTAGCTAGGGGGAGATGATGTTCACCTCCTCCTCCTCTTCCTCCTCCTTAATAGGAAACGTTTCTCTCTGAGGAGGCGAGGCATAACTTAATCAAGGATGGGAGGCTGGGAAAGGCACCGATGGTGGTCGATGGTCCGCGTGTTTGTGTATGGGGCAAGGAGAAGGTAATTCGATAAGATTTACTCGAGGCTTGTACTTCACTTGTACTTCGAGGAAAAAAAAAAAAGAATCGACGAAAAGATCCTTGGAGACCGATGATAGCTTCACTTTCTTTCGAAAGTGGATTATATTTCTATCGTGATATTTCTATGATGCAAACTTTACGCGTATTCCAAATTCTTAAGAATAATCCCAATTAATAAGGTTTATCGAAAAATTATAATTTTTTTTTTTCCGAACATCTGATCGAATTCTTTCGATATAGCACGAATAAATATTATTGGATAATTTAATTCCTTAAAAAAAAAGAAAGAAAAAAAAAGAAAAAGAAAGACGCAAATCGAAGATAAGTCGGGCTACGCGCAATAAAAGTCGACGCGTGCGTGCGTGTACGCGCGGGCGCAGGTCCGCGTGTGGGTGCACCACCAGTAAGCAGGCAATGCAACAAGTATCCTGAGGTTTTGAATCGCAAGCAGATCGCGGACGGACGGCCGAGAGAGAGAAAGAGGACGGCGACGCGACTCGAATGGGGATATGGGGTGGGGGGAGCGGGGAGAGTGGGAGGGGAGAGAGGAGAGCGCGCACCGATCGGGTCGCGTAGGACGGTGTCACGGAACAGATATGATACCCCGGAGAGAGGTTTACGCAAACGCGCGGCGGAACACGTGAGATGACGTGTGGTATCGAGTGTTCGACGCTTGGATGCCTCGATGCCTTCTCCCTCGGGAACGGTAAATATCGCGTGTCGCGGTCGGCCATGCAAGAATTCGGCTCGCACGATCCCGAACGGATTCGGGGTCATCGATATATATCTCCTCCTCCGGGGAGAGATCCACCGATTGAATTCAAATCGCCGGAGGATAGTTGGATGGAAAAATTGTTTCTTCTTTCGAGGATATAGGTTGGCTGTTTTTCCTTTTTTCTCAATCGCTCATCCAGGGAGGAGGGGGTGATTCGAGAGAGGTTCGAGGAGATTTGAGGGGTAGTAATGTGTTTCGCGGTTGAGTGAATGATCGATATTGGATTGCGGATGAAAATATTTGAAATTTTTAATGGAGATGAGATTAAGCGAAGCAGACTCGATTCGTTTTTTCGAAAATATTTCTTGATACTTTGAGCATAATAATATCTAATAAAATAAAATCTTTGATTTTATGGAATTTTAAAGCTGGATATATTGGATAGTTTTTATAAATTATCGTCGAGTGTGTATATGGGAAAGTAATAGATATTTCTGTTTGAAACTTACCGTTCTGTACGTTCTCTTTTGACCGGCATGCTTCCCTGGACGACCCTCAAGGTCAACATGGACAGCATGAATAATGTCGAAGAAGTTCTCCACGATCGCGACTTTCTTATACACTCTTCCGGGTGGAACGGTACCCTCGGCGCCGTTTAACGTCTGGAAAGGAACGTGTGACATAGTTAAAAATTCAATCTAACTTTTAAATAGTTAAAGTAGATAAAAAAAAAAAGAAGAAGACGAACAATTCTAGGGAATTTATTAAAATGCATCGTATTAATATATCTTTTTGCGAATCTATTAAACTTTACCATTTTTTTTCAATTAAGAAACACAATTGTAGATTTTATTTGATTGTTTAGTTAGTTAGCGATTATCGCAACGTTTATCTAAGGTAAATTTAAACTCGCAGATTTCATATTTTACAAAATTTAATCCAATTTAAGCAGTTGCATTTTGTGTTTCAGTGCCATCTGAACCGATGGGTGCAACTGCACTGCGAACAAGAAGGTTTCTACCTTCGTATCAGATGCACACCAGATCTCTACAATTCCGTTACCGACGGATGCTCGTGGTTTATCATAGTCGGTAAGCTAGGAAACCCTGTACATTCTCTATTTATCATCGATAATACAGATTTCTATAGAACCTAATCCATTCGATTTGAAATTGTTAATTTCTATTTTTTAAATAAACCTATTAAAAACATTAAAGGTAAAGTGACTTAAAAGAGTGATTAAACGAACGAATTTATCTACTCTCCTAAATATTCCAACCTTCGTACAAGATTCAATAATTATTTCAACTCCTTCGTAAAAAAAAAAAAAAAAAAAGAAAAAATAAATAAACCCACCGTACAATCATTACAAGCTCTAAAAATTATTCTGACGAAATATCCTCGTATACATCTCGTATACAACTCACGGAAAAAAGGGGAAAAGGATACCATTCCGCGAGCAATTCTTTTGCCTCGTGGAAGTGTCGCGAGGTATGGGGCGGGGAGAGAGAAAAAAAAAAAGGAAAAAATTCCAACTAGTCCAGAAACTCGATTAACTCACGGTACGCGGATGGCGTGACGACGGTTCGCGCGGGCTTGGCCGCGGTCAGATTGTTCGGACGAACTTTCCGACCTTAAGAAGTTGCGGGCGCATGCGCGACATTATTGTATTTCCCTAAACACCTGTTGAAGGATAAAGTTGAACTCGTGGTGAGTGGGAGGAGGGAGGGGGAGGAAGTGGAGGGGGAGGAGGAGGGGGTTTACGACTCGGTTAAGTGGCTGCGGTCAGGCGGGATAACAATGCCGATATCTAGGTGACCGCCGCCTTAAGATAACACGCGGTGCGCCCGATCGAACGACCACGACCCGTCCCCTCCCCCTTTCCTCTCACCCTCTCCCTCCTCTCTCCCCCCTTATTCCCGCGCTACCGCCGCCTTCCGCCACCGTAATTGGACGTAATCGTGGCGACGATCCCGCGCCTCCTCGGCCTCGCCGAACGGAAATCGATGCTTTCGCAAATATCGGGACGGCGCGATCATTCAATTTTAAACGAGCCGACCGAACGGTAACGGATTAAAACGGAGCAGACGGGGCTCGATTCGACGCGGTGGGTCTCGATTTTATCGGGAAATTATAATACTGAAATATTTCGCGGTGGCTGAGCGAGACTCGCTCTGAAAATAAACACGTTTCTTTCTCGTCGCAGACGGTGTCGCGAAAACGGGGGATAGAGAAAAAAAATATATACGTATATTTTTCGATCGACGGACTCGAGAATTTGGTTGATTGTAAATTCTTCGAGTTAGAATTAAAATTGCCAAGGTGAGATAATTGGATACACGTATGAGAGAGATTTTATTTAACCGTATTGGAACGGGATTGGAATTTAAAAAGTTCCTCGTACCGAAGGGTCGTATTGAAGAATTCGTGTGAAGAAAATTAAATTCTTTATAGAGGAAATTCTTCTGGGAAAAAGAAACTCGCATCTGTTTTAACGCTTATATTGCACGAAAAACAGTCTTGCAATAATATTCATGAATTGATAAGCAAATAGTAAAAAAAAAAAAAACCTCGCGAAGTCATATTGATTCACACCTATATCTCCAAATATCTACACGAATGTCTTATTTATATATCCAAAATACCGAATACGTACTTGACACTCTCCAATAAAATGCATAAAAATTTCCACAAAAACAATTCCACCATTCGAATCCTTTAAAATCCTTACATCATTTTTTTCCCCCTAGAACGATTCGTCCCTTAAATCGAAATACTGGTTCCATCCCTTATCAAACGAAAAATAAAAATAAATAATAAATAAATAATAAATAAAAAATAATAAATAATAAATAAAAATAAATAAATAAAACATAATAAAACAAAACGGAAATATTCAATTCTATTTCCAGCGCGCTTAACCGCAAAGACTTAATATCCAATTAATATCCCCTCCACCTCTCCACCCAAAAACCAAAGGATATCCTAAATTGCTCGCGAGCTAGAAATTTCACGGCACGTAACGTAAATCATTGGACGACCGCGGGATCTCGATCCATCCACTTTCCCCGATAATCGTCCGTGATCCACCCGGGGGTCAGACGCCGTCCACTTCTCTTCCCCCCTCCCTCCCTCCCTCCCTCCCTCCGCTTCCGCAGATAGCCTTCGATCGAAAACGGGCGGAGATTAACCTACTTGAGAGAGGGGTGTATACGCGTCTTCCGTGTCATCCGTTTATGTAAACCGGAGAGGGTTGAACACACGATTCAGCCAAAGGTACAAAGCTCGAGAGGAAGAGAGAGAGAGAGAGAGAGGGAGAAGGAGGGATAACTTTCGGCATTCCGTCGCCCGTGGATGGCCATTTCACGCAGCGTGCGTATTGGCCGTGTGACGAGGAGAGTCCACGGTCTGGCCGCGTGCCTCCACGGGCCATGATATGTTGTCTGGAAATGTGTCAATACTGAATATGTATGCCAGTATACGGAGGAGACTTCTGAGAACTCGTTTTAATGTTTAATACAAAGGTGCACGCGCTTTTGTTTTCCGTTAGCCGATCCCTCCGTAGAAGGGGAGGGGGAGGGGGGGGATCTACAAGCAACGGATTTCTTGGCATCGGGTCTTGGATCTTCTTTTGGAAGAGAATTCTGCTCGGCATGGACATGTTTCGGAATTTTTTTTTGATTTGGCATTTTTCTGAGATTATGATAAAGAGAAGAAATTTGATTTTTGAACGCACGAGATATAATTTTTCTTTTGTTTTTAACATTAGTTGGAAATGGAATTTACGATTTAAAAATTTTTTCCTTTGTATTTTATAAAAATTGTTCGTAAAAAAAAAAAGAGAATAGAATTAAGTCGAGAAAAATCGTCAATATGTTTTCATGATTTCTAAAGGAAATGGTTCTCACTCACGCGGAGAAATAAAAGAAAGGAAGAAAAGATGATTGATCAGGTTAAAGGGGAGAGGGTCGCGAAAAGTCGGCCTCGAAGAATATTATATTATCGAAGGGGTGATCTCGACGAGAAACCGAAATCTTGCTAAATATCGCATAAACCAGTGTTAAATGTTGCAACTTTTACGGTTTGCTTCCTATCTTGCTCAGATATCGTAGCGATATTACGACTACGGAGTTAAGAGACTCGAAGGAACGAGACGGTTTGCAATTACGTAATTCAACCCCTTGCGATACGTTGCATAAAATACTTATTGCTATAAAATTGGTCGTATAATTTTTTATAATAAAAATTAATCATATTCGTAGTTATCATGTTATACAAAAATAATCTGATAATAATAAGGAGACTGTGAATGTTTCACGTCAATTTATATTTGGCTATATCGAAACCTAAATAAAGATTAGTTTCATCCATGAAGTATTAGACTGCATTATTTCAGACATGTCAGATAAATTTCTTATAAATATGTAGAAAAACAATTTCAGAAATAATTTACTGAAGAAATAAATCGAATTCATAAAATAAAAAAAGAAACCTAACTATCGATATATTAAATATAAAAGCAAAAAACTTTTTATGTAACGTGTAAAAATATCCTCTCTTTTGTCAACAAAATATAATATCTAAATATCAATATTATAAACTCGATATAATATAATTTTACATATTCTGTTATAGAACGGTTCATATGCAAGACGTAATCAGTAAAATGTTCGCCTATCGACGAAATGGAACATTTCTAACGATATTTTCCTTTTTCTCTTTTTTTAATATCTAATAACGATATATATTACCACTTTTTGCGCAACTTTCTGTAGCAATGAGAACCATTGCAAACCGTAATATATGGAAATCTCTTTATGGTAAACGGCTATAATCACTCGTAGCAGATAAGTATACGAAGATCGTTTCGAAGCAAGCGGTAGCGAAAGGGTTAATTAACCCCGCTTGCCTTGCGATTTTTTTTTACGTCTACTCGCGGCGTTAAAGATGGATATTCGCTATTTTAATATTACGGCCGGTAAAAATTTTTAATAACCATAACACGGTAACAGAAAATGCTATATATACGTATAACCCTATTTTTCTATGTTTTCTTAGGTATGTAAAATAATATTTTTATTTTTATCCTCGAGACATAAGATTTTGATCGAAAATATTCTCCTGGAGATATATCTGCATATATCGCCTTCTTTTAAAAGAATATTGGAAATTGCGCATAATGATACGCTTGACAGGCTTCGATTTCGCATTATACTCATGTTAAGATTAAAGCGATATTTTTATATCGAATATAACTCGCGATTGTTATGTTCAATCATCAAATGATGCCGAAAATGATAGTGTCGAAAAACAATTCTGAAAATATCTAGGTTATGTGTACACGTAAATATTTTGTGCTTCATTTAATATATATTCTTTAATCTACTATCTAGATTATTTATCTAGCCTATCTATTTGATGTAAAGAAAAATTTTGATATGTGCAACTTCAGTTCGATATGAAATATCGAATAAAAAAATATTCTGAATTATATTTATTCTCCAAATATTTAAAATCATATTTTTTAATAAGAAATTATGCTAAAATGAATTGTGTAGAATATATAAAATATATATTATAGGATGTAAAGATAAACTCTTGCGAGAAAATAAAAATTAATGAGACATCCGATGGCAATTACTCTTACAAAAATATTAAGAAT